GAAATTTTCAAAGGTAATCCTTTTCTATTTGAAGCAATAAACAACTAAAAACTTTTATAGATGAATTTAAAAAAATTTTAAATTACCATATTTTAATACATATTTAATATTTCTAAGATTTAAAAACATTTTAGCAATTTTAAGAAGGTTCGACAATTACTACATAAATTGATATTATAATTCTACATATACATATTACATTATGTCATATACATATTAATGACGAAAAACGGTACAACATATATTTTAATTTAAATAAGACAAATCATTATTTACAAACGAATCTTTTAAGAAGATAATTCATTTAACAAAAAGTCAAATCGTTTAATAAATTTTACAAACCTTCCTTGAGTGAAGCTAAATCCAACAAATGGAAGATGAAGAGCGGAAAATGCAGAATTGGCTGCGGGAGGTACTGCGTCTGAGCTACGAACGTCAGTATCGTCTACGTCGAAATTCGATGTATCCGTTGGTGAAGAAACTTCAGGAATATAAGGAGCTGTGCTATCCCTTATAGTTTCCCAATTTACTCCTTCAAACCATGGATGCTTCTACAATAAAATAATATTTTTTTTCATTATTTTCATGAGTTACGTGTAACTTATTTGATATTTATCAAGCCAACACTAAAATAAATGTTACTATTACGGCATTTTATCTGAATAATTAATAAAAATAGCGAAAATTTTATAAATACGTCATTTTAGAATTTATAAAATATTGAACTGTATATTGAAGTAATACAGACAAATAAAATGAAATTGTTTACTTATACTAAATAGGCTAATAATTGAATAGATTAAATTATTATAATTGAACTACGCTTGCCTTAAAATCTTCAATTCCATTTTGTCCTAATCTAAATTCAGAACTGCAGATCAATTTTCTCATGAGATCCTTAGCCTCTTCAGAAATATCGTAAATATCATCCATAGGAAAATCAAAGCAGTTCTGAAAAATATTTATTAAATTATTAATATTGGTGATTTATATGTTTAAAAGAGAAATAAATACTTTTAACTGTACCTTATGATTCATAATTTTCCCATAAGTTTCGACTAGAGATTCAGCATAAAAAGGAGTTTCGCCATAAAGCATCTCGTACATACAAACACCTAAAGACCACCAATCACATTCTGGACCATATCTTCCCTGTCCATCTTCCATCGCCTTAATTAATAATAATAATTATTAAGAATGCTAATTGTTATTGCATTAAATTGGTATTTTATTTTATTTTTTTTTTAATAAAATAATCATACAGGAATAAGAACACTGAAATATTTGTACAATTTGAGATTCATTACAATATATGAAAAATACTTTCCTAATGATATCAAGTATTGGAAAAACTAAGCAGAGCTACCAGCTACCATTAAGTTGCACTATTAAAGAGAATATCAATGAAATTGTATACGTTGAGTGTTCAGAGAAAACTGCACATAAAATTTTAATTAATCACGCACCAATAATAACTACTCAAAATCTATAGAAAATTCTGCCCTCCTGCCATTTTCAAGAAATAACAATAACCCAAATAATAAATATTCAAATATTACAAAATTTTCTGATTCACATATTTGTTCTTTATATAGTAGTTGATTGTTACTACATTATTATGTAATTACAGTTAGAAATCATGAGTGATTTATGTAATAATTAGAAAATTGAAATTTCTAGAAGTTAACTAAACAATATAGTTTTATTTTAACTACCCAGTATAATATAATGTGCAATGCAGTAATCAAATTATAAAATTACCCTGAGAATTTCAGGAGAGATATAGTCTGGTGTACCAACAGCCACATTACTCTGCACAGTCCCATCCTCAAATAATCGAAGACAAGATCCAAAATCAGCTAAACGTATGTGCCCATTGGCATCTAATAAAACATTGTCAGGTTTTATATCCCTGTGTACATATCGTAAATCGTGTATAGAACCGATAGCAAGGACAGTCTCCGCTATGTAAAAACGTGCCATATCTTCTGGAAGCCTGTCTTCGAACTTGCTGAGTAAAGTTAACAAATCTCCACCGCAATAATAATCCATGACCAGGTACTGTAACGATAAATTTATCATACTTCATTCATTCATACATAAATCTTATAATGTAATTTTATAGCATAATTTTTAATAAAAATGAAAGTTTAATGAAAAATTATTGTACATTAATAGTTTAAATTTATAATTAATAAAATATGTGTGGAATATATATGGAATTTAATAAGTAGTACTCAATAATCTATGAAAATTCTTTAATAATAAATGAGTTAAAAAATGAAACTGTTAAACCATAATAGTTTTAATAGTTCTAAATTATTAAGTATTTTACCCTTTAAATATATTTATAAAATAAAAGTATTATCAATTGTGTCGCAATAAAGAAAAATAAATATCTCGTGCGTAATTTTATAGATAATATACTTTTATTTAAAATTCCAATCTGTATTATCTTATTTATTATCTAACTATTTTGTAATAAATAGAATGGTCTCTTATTAAAATGTTTGTTAGACAATAAAAACAAATTAGAAATATTAATTTGTTAAATTTTAGATATAATTTACGTGAAAAATTTACCAAATTATTGTCATCCTGAAAGGCATAGTGAAGGTTCGTTATCCACCTTCTGTCACCGTACACAAGAACGTCACGTTCTTCTCTGATACAAGCCGTTTCTGCGCGCTTCAGCATTTCCCACTTATTTAGTATTTTCATGGCAAAGACCTTATCCGAACCACGCATCCTTACTACACAGACTTCACCGAAAGCGCCTCGACCAATAACCTTAACAATTTCGAAATCCTCCCGAGCCAACTGAAGGCTCTTTATACATGTGGCTACAGGCTTAACTAAACAAACAAAACATTAATTTCAATATATTCTGTTTTCCTTTACATTATCTTTATAATGAATTTCATTTTGTAATAAATAAATGTATAAAATATTATTTTATTAGAATAAAAAATTGAAATATTGAGAATTGTTAATGTAATAAACTATAAAATTTCTTAATAGTCAATTATTTATTTGACTTTTTTACCATTGCATTATCTTAAATGGACTTAGTTTAAAAAATCTTTCAGCAGATTTAAGAATATTAAAATCATTCGATAGAAGATCAATTTTAATACAAAGTTGAATTTCAAATGAATAATTAATTGAAATAAACTATTAAAACTAATTGTAACAACTATCCTATTATCATTGTTTGATTACATTATTCAAATGAATAAGTATATTATGGTTACTGGCTATAAAAGTGTATTTTAATTTTTATTTTAAATTGAATATTTATAAGAACTCAGCAAAAAAAAACAAAATTATAAAATAAATGAATCATTGCAATAGAAAAAGAAATTGTAGCAATGTATTTTTAGCAAATGAGAAATTAAATTTCTTTGCCAAGGTTGTAATTAAATAAATTATTTTAAAATGATTCTTTATAGCCTTGGTATTCACATATTATCACAGAAATTTTAAAACAAACTTTCATTTCTCATAATTAATTTTAATCATTATATTATTGTGTAAAAATTAAAAAAATATTCTCATTTAAATTTTTAAAACCTTAGAATGAATGTTATTTAACGGTATATGAATTATACATAAATTAGGTATAAGATTTCAAATATTTTTCTTATTATATAACTCATTTAAAATGTATTATTTTAAGAAGGAAGATCATTTTTTTATCTTACAACGTGAATATTGCATCGATTTGTATATTTGAAAATTTATTGCAAATAGATTCACTAAAACAATTTAGAATTTTGATATAGATAAATAACTAGATACTTTAAAATATAAAAAGTAAATTCTATCTGTTAGATTTATTAAGAACAGTAAATTTGTAGTAAACAGTCATTTATTAACCTACCAAATTCAATGAAGTCTGAAACAGTCTTTTCACGTCTTAGAGAAGAATTACAGCACTCATCGTATAAAACTAATAAAACGTCGATAAGTGTTTCAATCGACAATGTGTGGCCCATTCTTCCACCCTGTACAGGACCACCAACAAACAGGGCTTCCAACTGGCGCAACCGTGCTCCTACACCTACACAAACAAAATAATTACATTAAAGCCTATGAGAGAGAAAATAGAAGTATATGTCAATATAATTTAATTACTTTCTGTATAATATATTATAATTAAAACTGCATAGATTATTTTTATTAGATTAAGAGTATAATTCACAGGGTAATAAAAAATAAAATAAAATTCTTTTAAACTTTAAGACAATAATAATTGTCTAATTGTTCAAAACTAATTGTCACTTAACTTTAATCTACTACTCAATTATACTGCATATAATGATTACAAGGTTTCACATTTTAAATAAACAATGTCAATACAGAGATAAGAAGCGTTCTTTATAAAATGAATAATTACTTAAATTAAATATTAAAAATTCTACATTGTCAAGATCCATAATTTACGCATAAAGTCTCAATAAAACTTGTCTTACGGTTATATATAATGAAATTATTTATTGACTATAATAAATTAATTACCATTCATTGCTCGTCCTTTAGGCATGATGTCAGGTGGAGGGTGACTGTAATGATGTAGTGTATCTGCTATGATTGCCTGTGTGTTGGGTAAACCCTCAATACGTTCCTTCGATGAGACTTCCATCATCTTTGTATATAATATGTATAATTATAAATTTTCTAGACCACCAGCTCATCACTGAATTATGAAAGTTCTGAAACATAAAATTTGTGCTTATTCATATGATCTCTATAGTATCACAGCTAAAAATACTTTCTTCGTTGTAAAAACAAATAAATTGTACTAATAACATTTATATGATTAATATTCTTTGTTAAATCAATATTACTCAAGGATCATTTTTTCTAGTAATAGCACTATACATTTTTTTTTTATTTTTTTTTTTTGTGGTAACTTCTTACTTCAACTTAATATTTAATTATTAATCATTTAATAATTAATTTTTTACTCACAAAAACTTTAAACATTTATCAATATTCATAAAAACGTGTAAAAAAATGTATGTATTAAATAATAAAGGTATGCATGTCTTATGAATGGCTTACTAAAAATAGAATCTACACTAGTCATTTAACTATACACACATGAAATTCTTTGTCACATTATTTTGCTTGACAAAAACGAAGAAGTCTATTTTAAATAATCTTAGAACAGAATCAAGGTAGCAGATTTTCTAGAATATTCGTTAAAATAAAATTTTCTATTATTTCATAGTATAATTTGGTATAATATTTTATAGTAAACAATGTTGTTAAAAAATAAATATCACTTTATGGTACATAAGAAATTATAAATCATTCGATACATATTATTAATATAAAATATCAAAAAAAGTTTCGACCCCTTAGAATAAAAATTATTTTCAAAATAATTATGATTTTATATAATTCTATATTTTTTTAATGAAAATCAAACATAAATATTTATTATTTCTATTTATATTTATAAAATGTTTAACATATAATTGGAAATATAAATCCGATATTGTATTCAAAATATTGCATGCATAATCGATTAAATTATGAAAAATTAAACACAAAATATTGCAACGATAATAAAAGAAATAATCCAAATAAAATGTATAAATATTTTTCTACATACAAATATTAAATTAATTTAAAGAGCAAAGATCTAAATCCCCTTATAATATACACGCTTTTAAGAATATATAAAAAGAAACTGTCAATTTACTTATCTAAACAATGTATTACTATTTATTAAAAAGTTTTTATTACTTTACTTAACAGAATTTTTATTATTCTATTTAAAGGAATAAAAATATTTAATTCAGACTAATTTAAAATATCAAAGATTGTTATTATCTAATAGTGATGGGTAATAGATATTTATTATATATAAAATTTGTTTTATCAAAACGAAACTAATGAAATCTCTGTACTAAATCAGTAGTAATAAGATTTCCTCTAAATTTCCATTGTCTAATTCATACAGAAGTCTTCTAAATCTCCTTATATTTCATTTATACACACATGCCTACATAAATGCACGAAAGACAGAAAGAGAGAGAATTTAGTCTTGCTGACTCCAAGAACAGACTTATATAAATAAATGTGGTTCGTGGAGACTGAGAGAAAGAGCCAAGGCCAAAGCCAAACTTCTGATTCTCCTAATTCTCGTGTATATCTATCCGTTTCCCTTTAAAAACTACTATTACTCTTTACAACCCCCAAAGACATCACCTCTTCATCTTATCAACACACACGTTTGTATGAGCTTCTTGAAGCACATCTCCTGAAACAAAATTACGTAACCACGTCTAGCTTTGTACGATTTTTTTTTTGGCGAAAGCATGCAAATAAGAGTAGCAAAATTCAAAGGCTTTTCGCGTTGTAAATAAGAAGTATATGTATGAGCATATACGCGAGCGAGCGAGCAAGCGAATGAGCGAATGAGCAATGAGCAAGAAACAACGATGACGACGAAAATAGAGTACATACTATATGTATGTGCACACATACTGTTTATAATATATGCTTCTCGCACGTTATATGCGTATATACGATAGCACACAATCATAAATATAACGAGAGAGGGGGGGGGGAGTCAGACAGAAAAGGCGTCGTGGAGTAGGGCGGCATAGATTAGCATTGAATATGTTAATTTTCAAACAATATTAAAATTAATAATATTTCTCTCGACGTTCGTTTTGTGAAATTAATATTTATTAATTTTTATTTGTTTTTTTTTTTATTTTAATCGACAACACAACGAATATCAAAAGTTTATAGATATTTTAATATAATTTTTTAATCACGTTATATATTAACAGAACAAACGTCCGATGTTGATAATATTTTCATCGGAACGACGCGATTATTCACGTAACGTTGAAAAATAATAAAAATTGCTCAAAGCCATCGAGCAGTGTAATAAAACGGAATTGTCGGCGAGCGTGAAAGGGTCACGATGCGTTCTTTCTCGCTAACTTTAACTTTTTATATGCAGGGAATGTAAAAGATTCAAAAAAAAGTCATGCGCTCGTCCAAGTTTAGCAGAAGAGGAAAAAAATTGACAAAACAAGTCAAAGCGAGAAACAATTTACGTAACGAAAAAAGGCATCGTTGAAAATCAAAGTGTCAGTAAAATTCAGAGTGACTAGTTAGCTTAAAAGGGTCAAGAGAGAAAGAGAGTGCATATGTATATGAGCACACCTATATATACATGCATTCCGCACTACTCTTTCCTCTCTTATTCACTCACTCTCTCTCTCTCTCTCTCTCTCTCTCTCGTCCTTTTCACAACGCCAGGATCACGAAGACCAACTCGTCGTCCTTCTCTCTTTCTCTCTCTCTCTCTCTCTCTCTCTCTCTCTCTCTCCCTTCCTCCCTACCACGCACTATCTATTTTCACTCTTTTCCATTGTACTTGAGCATAGATCGCGCGAAGAAGAGAAGAAATAATAGACGAACCTTTATCCCCACGTCGAAAAACTGCACTTCGATATTATTCTTCAGCAAGAAGAATACACATATAGATATATAGCACACGCCTGGCTTTGGCTTCCTTGGCCGTAGCAGCACGCGCGTGAGTCGTGTGTTTTTTCTTCCCCCGTATAACCTAAAGAGGGTGGCAGCGCGTCGTCGCTGTCGGTGCGCGATCAGCCAGCCCCGTGGAAGACGTCTCCGTCGAAGGTCATCGATCGTCGACACTCTCGCAGTGGCAGTAGCAGAAGCAACTCGGCAGCAGCCGCCGAGCGCCGTTCCCTGCCGAGACGCTCCTGCATCTCCCGTCCTCTTTTTTCCTACGTACTCGTATATCTTTGCCTGCCTGCCTGCCTGCTCGTCCGACCCTTTTTTTTCTCACTGCCCTTCCGTCCCTCCCCCCTCTCAAGCTCGGTTCCGATCAATTTGTTGTCACACCTTCGCGAGCCGCACTTGCGCCGACACGACACCAGTCAAGCTCGACGGAATGTGTCCCCCCCCCCGTCGGCCCCCGCCTCTAGCGCATCGCTCACGCAACGTCACCGAATAGTCCGCGTCCTGACCAGCGCTCCTCTCCGCCAGGGCGACGCGCGCGCACTACGTCGCGCTAACCGATCGCGGTCGCCGAGGCATGTTCGCGCACGACGCTGCCGCGGTTGCGAGAGCGCAGCAGCAGCCCCACCAATGACGACGACAACGACAACGACAACAATAACAACAACAACAACAACAACACGGTAACTACTAAGGCTCGATTCTGCCTCTAGTCGTCTCTTCGACGTGGACTTCCCGAACGGCTCTCTGCTCCCGACTCCTCTCCCAACTACTCTTCATCCTCCCGCTCAACGAGGAGGAGGAGGAGGAGGAGGAGGAGGAGAAGGAGGTGGAGAAGAAGAACGAGGAGGAGAATGAGGAGAAGAACGGCAACGGTGACGACGACTACGCCGACGACGACGACGACGACGACGACGACGACGACGACGACGACGATAACGATGAGGAGGAAGAGGAGCAGAAGAAGAAGGAGAATGGCAGTGATGACGACGATCGGGAGAGAGAAATATTTACGGCCCCGTGCTTATGCGCGCATGTGCGTGTGCGTGCTCCTGCCTCTGAGTGTATTTAGGCCCCCGCACGACCAACGGCTCCCCACTCTTGCCGATAGCTCCGGCCCCCCCCCCCCCAACGTCAGTCGCCACTGCAGCAAACCTATATACGTACTGTAAAGTGTGCGCCTGTGTGCGCCCGAGCTCCTATGCATAAATAGGAGCGCCCGAGTCGCCCATGGGTCCCCTATGATTGTGTGCGCAATGTGTGCTTGACCCTCCCCACCCCATCCTCCCGCTCGCCCTCCCTCCCGCCCTCGCAACCGCCACCTAAACTCTTGTATGCGCTTATGGGGAAGAGAGAAAGAAGAGGGTTATAAGAGCCGTGGTATTATAGTTTTACAGCGAAGCCGAACTGCCTCTGTCTTTATTGGCGTCGGACTCTATGCTGCCGCCTGTGTGGGAGAGAATAAATATGGCAGGAGAACGAAGGAATAACGCACACATGAATTACGTACGAGCGCTCAGTGACTCTATCCTCGTTGAGTTTAGTGTGTCGGGTTGCTTGTCTTTATCATTTTTGTGCGATAGTGCACATTGAAATGACGGTGAGCTTACCGAGTTGTACTTTAAGGCATCATTTATAGAATTATCAATGTAATGTTTGCTGTATGCTCAAAGCTCAAATTGACTGCAATGAAGTATGCAATAACGAGCTGCGAAAGGGGTGAAAAGTAGTTTGTCGACCGATCAAAGATTTATTCGAAGTCGGAGTTAATAATATTTTAACAAATATACGTCGCGAGGGGCGTGAGACCGGGGAAAATGATTCCTTTGGGAAACATAAGTGTTGATTTTAAATTTAGCTCACAGATAGATGGAAATGTTCTGACAAATGATTTTCAGATTAGTAGGGCTCACGCAGGATATATACGTTAAAATTATTATCCTTTTCACGATTATTTATTATTAAAATTTACATTATTCGTTCATTTAAAAAGACTCCCACTTTACGAATCATTTTTTCTTTTTATCGTTTTATATAATGTAAAAGTAGGAGAACACTTTCAAGTAAGAGAAAAATGTCTTGGGATAAATTCACATTCAATCTTATTTCTACTATGAACAATTCAATTTTTGCGCTTAATTTCCCATTAAATGATATTTATTCAATCATTATATCGATTAATGAATAAGTTATTAAATAAATGATTAAATAAATTATTACATTATTACAGAGTGTTAAATATATTTATACGGAAATTTTGACTCGACCATTACGAATATTCAATTTATTTGCATTAGATGCATTATCTGACGTTTTATAAGAAGACGGCAAGTCGAGTTGTGTCTACGATTTAATTAAAGACAATATGCTCGGAAAGTTTATTTCACTCGTTTATTTATTGTAACGCGTTGTACACATACATGCATGGGAAAAGCATTATACCTTATGAAATAATATTGTACCGTTTAAAGGGCAACATTTGACTAATTCTAAAAACGGCATATATTCTGTGCTTTTTGATATATATATATATATATATATATATATAAAGAACTGCAGGCGTACTGATACCACGTGATTAAAAGACTAACACTTGCAAAAATGCATTTTTGTATACAAGTGTCAAAGAAGCATAGAGGAAATAGAGGAAAAAGTATAAAATAAAATAAAATAAAAAATATTTCAAATATTTATATACAAATTAGGACAAATTAATAAATTTGATTAGAATATTGTACACATTTTATTAGAAGAATTATTTTTTTGCTAAAAGTCATATAAAGATCAATTTTTCACTAATAGAAGGATTTTATTTTATTTTTTATTTATTTATTTTATTATTTATTTTTTTTTTTTATTTTTTTTTTTCATGAGTCACTTTTTGCTGTCGAGCAGGTATTATTTATGGCCTTCACCCTTTGAAAGTCTCCGCCCCTGACGAATTTTCGGCGATGCAAGTATGTTTGGTGGAGGAAACCTTAGCATAATCTATTTGAGGCAAATAATAAACGATACTTTTTATTGATTGACAGTTAGGATTTAAAGCGTGTAATGCTTAGAGGAAAAATATATATTCTTTAAAAATTTATATTGCACATTGCTTCAATTTTTAAATAATTATGAGAGAAAAAAATGATATTTTTAATATAAACATTAGTTTTCAAATCACGAGTTGATAAACGATATTTTCGTTTTTGCTTGTTGTTTTGTAGATATAATTAGATGATACTGTGTGTACGTATATGCATTTGTATGATTAGATTTTCAAGCGACAATTGTATGCGCAATATGATCTTATATTTTTAATCTTTTTTCTCCTCGATAGGTGGCAATGTAAAACATATTTTCTTTCGTTTGAGTGTTCTGTTCGGCTCATACTGAACTCATTTCTTAAGTGTGGACATATGAGTCAATCGACGGCTGTATTACATTGTTATTTAATCAGAAGCATATTTCTTTATCCATACAATTTAATTAGTGAAAAATTTTGAAAAAAAAATCTTTTATATATTTGGAATATCTGCATTTGTTTTTAACAGCCACTAAAATGCAGATGTTTCTGAATTTATAGAAAAATATCATACATTAGATCATTAACAATGTTATATTTCAAATTTTTTTATAATATTCTAGAATATGCATTTATTATATAAATTTAAATATCCTTTGCCGTTATAAATTGATTCCATGCTATAAACTACTACGTAGATCGTGTTGTTTATATTATTCTTAGGAATAATAACTTAAGAATATTTTATTGAAATATTTCAATTTTACTATTATAAACGTACTCGTTCTATATAATCTGTTTACATTTTTTTTTTTACATTATTATTTTACATGTATGAGATATTAACAAAAAAATCCTTTCAACGATAAAGAAGTTGTGACGCAGAAAGAAATTAAGTAATCCTATCGTGAATATGACAAATTTCGATAACATAAAGATTATTTTTCCTGTTTTCTTTCATTTTAATAATATTTTACGCATATTTAATATGAAAAATAAGAAATTATCTTTAAATCAACATTTTAAGACAACAGAAATTAATGCTTTTAATCATATTGATAATGCATATTAAAAATTTTCCTGTTAAACTTTTATATTTCTTTCACGAGTAATTATATATATGTGTGTGTGTGTGTGTGTGTGTGTGTGTGTTAATCTCATTTAATATTCAAACCACATACGTTTTTACATTGAAATAATTCAATATAAACAGATACCCCGTAAGTCTTATGCATTTATAAGTAGCACAATACGGATGATATTTGAAATATATTTATTATAGTTTATATTAAACAGCTATTAAAATAATTGTCATTTAATACTTACCTTAATTCCAATTTTTGTTTATACATATTACGTCGGCCTTAAATTTGAAATTCCATTTCCATTATATACCAAAAATATTTATGTTATTTGAAGTTACATTTAGTTACAAAATACTTAATTTTCTTCATTAAAGTTATGTTTTGAATGTGGGATGGAGGGGTGGGGGGAGGAGGAGATCACGTTCGAGCAACAACATATATGCACACACTCTATTCTGAAACTGATAATTAATTGAAAATATTTAATCAACAATTTAAAAAATTGTATTGAAAGGTTATATTATTTTATAAACAGCAAGATGAAATAGTTTGCAACATAATATGAATATCTTCTAAGCAATAAACTATATGCGACAATTTCAATTTTCTTAATATAATGAAGTATCGATACAAAATTATATAAAATATCTATGTTTATTTTTTTCTTTAAATTTGTTAAAAAGATATATTAACTTGAAAATCCAATAATGCGTATAAAAAAATGAACTATTTAATTTTCACGTTTTAATACTAATTTCAAAGGAATTATCCATACTAATTGAATAAAGTATTGTTGTAAGTAGTTTAAGAAACTTACATTATTACATTAGTAAACTTTATATATTCTCTCAATATATTTATAATTTAACATTATTTTTTTAATAAATTATTTTAATTATTATTTATATTTAAATTACTATTTATATTTTTATGCATTATATTAAATAATATATATTATTTGTTAATTTTTTTAATTGTAAAACACCATTAACTATTTAATAAAATAATAAATAAATTTAAAAAGTTGATTTATAAAAAGAATTAGTGAGATGCGTAATGAAATACGTAAGCCTTATTTGTATAAATAATTTTGATGCACAAATTTAAGTATCTAAGATTATCGTAATAAAATTCAATTGAATATTAATTAAAATACTCTTTCGTATTTCGTCTAAAAGATCGTTTTAATATTTTGATGGAA